AAAAAAAGGGGGGGGGGGGGGTTAATGGCGTACTTTTGCTCAACTAAATTTAAAAAAGGGTGAAGGTTAAAGTTCATGACCTCGAAAAATACATTCGGGAAGGGGGTGTAAGGGCATCGTTTTCTTAAAAATGTTTGTTGATTTCATTAAAAAAAAATTTTTTTTCACATCTCGTTTGTTTGAATTGGACAGAAGCGGGCCCAGGCTCTACTTAACTGTTTGTTTTTCCCAATCCGTGTCAAAACGTGTTGTGATAAAGACCATTGGCTGAAAGTTAAGTTCTGCAAGTAAAGCCTTCGAGGCATAGGGCAGAGCCTGTAGGTACTGAGACACAGTACAGAGTCTGTAGGTACTGAGACACAGTACATAGTCTGTAGGTACTGAGTAGTTACTGAGACACAGTACAAAGTCTGTAGGTACTGAGTAGTTGCTGAGACACAGTACAGAGTCTGTAGGTACTGAGACACAGTACAGAGTCTGTAGGTACTGAGTAGTTACTGAGACACAGTAGGTACTGAGTAGTTACTGAGACACAGTACAGAGTCTGTAGGTACTGAGACACAGTACAGTCTGTAGGTACTGAGTAGTTACTTAGAAACAGTACAGAGTCTGTAGGCACTGAGACACAGTACATAGTCTGTAGGTACTGAGACACAGTAAAGAGTCTGTAGGTACTGAGTAGTTACTGAGACACAGTACAGAGTGTGTAGGCACTGAGACACAGTACAGAGTCTGTAGGTACTGAGACACAGCACAGAGTCTGTAGGCACTGAAACACAGTACTGAGTCTGTAGGCACTGATACACAGTACAGAGTTTGTAGGTACTGAGACACAGTACAGAGTCTGTAGGTACTGAGACACAGTACAGACTCTGTAGGTACTGAGACACAGTGCAGGGTCTGTAGATACTGAGACACAGTGCAGATTCTGTACTTACTGAGGACAACATATTGTGAGGTGAAGGTTGTTGAGCATATTCCCTGAATGAACTTAACACGTGTGAACAAGTTGGGATAAAAATCAATGAGAAAAGTGAGATGAGAAATTAAAT